TTTAGTCCCTGAGCGGGGTCACGGGGGGGCCAGAGCCAATCCCGGCCGGCAATCGGGCGAAGGCGGGGTACACCCTGGACAGGTCGCCAATCCATCGCAGCTTACTAAACATCAAATTACAAAAAAAAGAACCACAGTGGGCCATGCATCTTACTCCACAGGTGGCAAGATGACAGAGCCTGCCACTGGACTATCTGATCTCTCAGATATTAAGAATTGGCTTAGTTTTTACTCAGTAGACTATTATGGTGGTTTCACCACAGTGCACAAATTGGAGATTATATTTAGCTTATACCTTTAGCAATATGTGTAAAAAGAATGAACAAATTGGGTCCTGTATTGAGTCAGTAACAGGACAGGGCATTTTAGGTATAAAAATGGGATAATCCTGTATTATAAGGGACGGGTAGAGTCTTGAATTTTTCTTGTGGGTGCGGATTGACTGTATAAAAGATGAACAACATGACTGCTCCCAGGAGTGAAGCCACCACTAATTCAGGTCATAAATATTCCATGTTAGTGCACTGAAAAAAAGATTTGTTGGATTTACTTCTTTGTAATGTGTACATCGGTCCCACACAATGATAATGTGTAAAACCAACATAATTTTCTTTAGGGGTTAACTTGTTTGAATTATGTTAAACTACTGTATGTTAGCAATAGGACTGTTTCTTTAACCAATCAAATGTCAAATTCACCTCACAGGGCCAACAAGCTGGCATACACTAACGTCAGCATTTTTTCATCCTCTGATTGGTTGGTCAGAGTAAAACTAGAAAAGGACTTACTGATGGAACTGAAATTCAGAGATCACCTCTATGAGGATGGATTTTGTATGTTTTTGTCATGTTATTAGATAAATATTGATTCTGAACTGCTCCAGATGATGTACGTGGCACAGTTGTGGTTGTAGTGTAGAGGTTTGGAGTTGTCTTAACTGGGTTTCTTGCTTTAGTAAAAATGGTATTCACCCGCAGTACGTGAAATGCCTCTCTCTGTTATGCCATGTTTTGTTATATTATGTTTTTGTGTAGTATTAATGGTTTCTATAATTGCGACGTACAGTGGTGGTTTTAATAGATGAATTAAGTTGGGTAAGTCCCCACTGAAGGCCCAGGTACCAAATGCACGGCCCGTCACTGATTATTGCACAGGTGTGCCTTAGGCTGGCCACAATAAAAGGCCACGCCAAAATGTGTAGTTTTATCATACAGCACAGTGCCACAGATGTCACAAGTTTTGACTGCTGACTGCAGGAATGTCCACCAGAGCTGTTGCCCATGAATTGAATGTTCATTTCTCTACCATAAGCCATCTCCAAAGGTGTTTCAGAGAATTTGGCAGTACATCCACCCGGCCTCACAACCACAGACCACGTGTAACCACACCAGCCCAGGACCTCCACATCCAGCATAATCACCTCTAAGATTGGATAGACCAGCCACTCAGACAGCTGCTGCAACAATCGGTTTGCATACTTTTATTCCAGCATATGTCAGCTCTCCTGGGAAGTTCAGTGTTGCTGTAGAGATATTTGCTATTCTGGCCCCCAGTTTTGGACTGCGCATGTGTACTTTTATTCCAAAATGTTATATTATCTTACTGAAACCAGAGAAGAATACCAAAAAAAATATGTTGGGGAAAGGGATGAAAATGTAGAAAGTATGGTGTCAAAGGCATTCTAGTGCCATTATCATTTTTTTATTTTTTTTTTTTATTATTGCATGGAAACCAAAATGCATTTATTGAAAAAACGAATTCTACCCCTGAATAATTTTCTATTCTGTCATTTAATTGACATAGCATATGGAGATGACAGCATTTAATGCAATGTACAGTAATATATAACCATATCAACCAATATGTGAAATTCAAGATAAGTAAATGCACAAGGTTTGTGCCTAATTCCTCTTTGATTTAATAATATTTGAGACAGTTTTGGAAATGTAATCAAATAAAATCTACATTTTCATAGAAAATGTAAAACTTGTATTAGTTTCCCCTTGTCAGAAATGTGTAGAAAATGATATATATAATCTTGTATAATCTTGTGTTTTGTATTTGAGACATTAAGATTAATGCAATAAAGACTGAGGCTTTTGGAAATTTAATTGGTTTGGTTCGGCATACTGATATGATTTCAGTCAGAGAGACACTGCAAGAAAAAAAGAGAGGATCCAAGTTAATAACTGTCATACAGTCATGCAGTGTGACTCCCATGTGCCAACAGCAGGACGACAACATGGCAAATAAGGTTGCGGTCATAGAAAACATTTTTACAAAGGATGAATGTAATATAGGTATTTACTCTAGCTCTTTGATCCACGGGTCAATAACAAAAAATAAATAAATTTACCCTAGCAGATATAGTGCACCGATCAGAAAATGTACTAACATAAAATAGTATTAATAACCAGATCATGCCTTCCACACAACTTGAAGAATTATGAGCTAAATACAGTAAGGCAGATAGTGTTATGTCAGCTGTCTCACGTGGAGGTGAGAGAGAAACAGGCTGATACCTGCCATCTGGGTCAATACAGATCACCGTCTTTATTGCAACAGAAAAACAGACAATATCACTATGCTGGTGCAGTCTGACAGTGAGGTTTGTATCCGAGGTGGTACAGCTGAAGAACTGGAGGTGGCAGGGCAGCGCAGATAATGGCAGTGAAGGTTGGCAGTGACTGATGAGTGTAGCCAGGAAACTCTGGTGGGACGAGTAAAGAACGCTGGGTTCGGAGGAGATGCAGTGGCTGGAGTCAGTATGAAGAGATGACAAGCTAGCCACAGGTCACTCAGGCAATAGCAGGATGGAGATAGTAATAAGTCCAGAGCACTCCCAAATAGCAAAATTGGTCTGGCCTGGTTCTGGCCCACACAGTGCACTTGGCCAACATACCATAAAGAATGACGGCCCTTTGGTGGCCCAGACCTGGTTTGCGAGAGGTGGCCCACACATGGGCCAGCATGAGGCGAGTGAGTGACATTTCTAGCAAAGCTTCTCTTCAAAAGACATGGGAAACTTGGAAATCCCAGCTTCCCTGTTCAAATGGAATGCAGATTAAGCTATCAAGTTATTTCTTAATCAAAAATATTCTGTACAGATTAAATAAGTAAAACTGTAAACTCACCTTGACTTTGTTCTTCTCTCTGTTCAAAAGGGCGCATCCAGTTCTGTTCTCGCTCTTTACAACAGGAAATAGCTAGAGCCAATGAGAGAGTAGGAAACGGGGTCACATGTTGAGGGATTGTTAGATTTTACCCAATTTTTTTTTAAAGCACAAGAAGTGAAGACAGGAAAGGACTGTTTAAAATCAACAGGAAGTTTACTCAAAGTCTGGGCACAGGTGAAGTCTTACAGTGCTGGGGTCAGAGAGACAGAGCTCCCGCAGGAAATCTGTTCTCTGAGCCATGAGTTATGTGTTCTCATTACATTTATCTCCTTGGGCTAGGCCCGCCCTGGACAGAGGTACAACATTCCACACTCTGTAATCCTATTGGCCATTTGGTGTGAGCAGGTCAACCCCTGCTTACGGCTGCTTGTTGAAGTGTAATCTAAACCAGGTGTGTGTGTGTTTCTCAGGCGGCAGCTTGATCAATGAACACTGAACAATGGATGGTCTGGGCTGCAGGCCCCCCTGTGTGTGTGATGCTAATAAGTATGCTAAACTGGCCAGGTTGTCATCTCAGGTTGTGGGCCCCCTGCCTCTGCAGGGCACACCATGACAAAGCAGAACTTAGAATATGCTAAGCAGGTCTAGGTGAAGGTGTAAAACAGGCCAGCGGGTCTTTGTTAAAATGTAAAATAGGCCGTCTGCTTACTTGAAGATACAGACATCCTGTCTCTACAGAATTTGCAGTATAGCGTTCCAAAGTTTCACTCAGTAGAATACAGCAGTCCTCAATACAGTTTTAATATGTATAAGCAAGGAAATTTAAGGTATGAAAAGTAACAAAGAAAATGAACTGAAAAGTAACTAAAGGAAACTAAAGTTATGAAAAGTAAGTAAAGCTTATAAAGTAACTAGAGCCTATAAGAATCAAATCTAACAGGATGGCCAGTGAGAGCAAAGAGCAAGATTGGTTGGTTGGTTGTCAGGGAGGCATAAACAGACAGTCTTTTCAGAATAGTGACAACAGGAAGTTTTCCTGTAACTTAATAATAGGTAAGTTTAGGGCCATCTGTTTTAATTATTACTCATTCAATTCTGAGAAATGAAGGTTTTCTGTCAGTGGTGGAGCACATGATGTGGATGTGTTTGAATGTACTTAATTGCTATAAACTCGAAAGACTAAATTGAGTAGGGTGGTGTGTGAGACACCAGTAAAGGTGGAAAAACATTTTAAAAGTAAGACTTAAAAATTCTTTGTGGTTCACACTTCCCGGCCAATGCAAGCTACAGAGGTGACAGTGGTGCGGTGGTAGAGCAGTCATCTCCCAACCAGAAGATTGAAGGTTTGAATCTCGGTGCTGGCAGATCATGTGTCGAAGTATCCTTGGGCAAGACACTGAAGCCCCCTGTTACGCCCGATGGTTAGAGCCATAGATTGAGGTGGCACCGCAGATGGCTGCCATCGGTTCTGTACCGCAAACAAATTCCTTGTGTGTAACATACTTGGCCAGTAAAGGTTGTTATCCTCATCTCCTTATTAAAAGAACACATATTAGACAGTACATATACACAGTGCCATCATTTCTAGACCTGGCCCACATCCGGGTTAACATGCCAGCTTGACGCCAGATCTGGCCCACACCTGGATGCTATGTGGGCTGGAGTCACCATGGGAAACAGAGAGTTGAGAGGAGTAACATAGCCTAACTTTGAGTGGTGTGATACTCTTAAGTCTTGCTGTAGATATAGCGTTGCTTCTCGTATAATGTGAATGTAGAAGGAACAGAAAATTCTCAACGTACTGACGACGAGCGCCAGTAACTTAAGTACTGGCGTAGGTAATTAGGTTAACCTATGGCAGCTGTATCA